TGTAGCAGTTCGCGTTTCAGGGAGTCCACTTCAATCACTTCAATTACAATACATAACGGTTTTTCAGCACATCACGATTCATGGATAACAAAAATGTTTCATCACGGGGTAACAAAAACAAATATAACTTCCCCCACTCCCTGTTCAAATGCAGCGTATGGGCAAACATATTTTAAAACATTTTTCTTGTATCGGCTGTATGTTGGTGTATCTACGCAGGTTTGCACCAGGGCAGTAGTAAGGCAAATTCACAGGGACAAGCATCGGGCAGAAGCTTTAATCGGGGTACCTCAATTATGGCTCCTCCTTCAGCTCAACAAACATTAACACCAGCTCAAGAAAAAGAAGATAATAAAAGCCAAACACAAGCAGCGAAAGCCGAAATTGAAAGCACAGGTAACAAGATTTATTAAAAACCGTTGACCGCATTTTTGTTTTGTTTTATAACGAAAAAATTTTTAACATTAACCGTTAAGCCCAAATGCAGTTGATCTAATAATGCTAAAAATGTGTCTTAGTTTTAATCCTTGTGCGTGTCTTGTCAAGCAAAACTTGTGGGCAGCAACAGAGGAAATAAATGGAATGCAAATATTTTTTTTTCCGTGGAAGTTAATGGAGCTGCATATTAATATAATAGGTTAAGCTTAAACAGGCCCTCTTTTTAATTTTTTTTTTTATCGTTTTGCAATTTGTCATTTTGTTTCAGACAAAAGGAAAATTACTCTGAAAGTTATAAAAAAAAGATTTGTTTCAGCCCCAAAGTGCCAATTCAGCCTGTAGGTCAAAGTCTAATTCAACAACAACAACAATTTTGACTAAAAGGCAGATGATTCTTGAAGTACTGCCCGCAGCTAGCAAGGCTATTCCAGGCGGGACAGTGCGTGTAAAAAAAATTAATAAGGTTAAGGTGAATTAACTAAGAAAAATTTTAAAGTTAACCAATCAAATGAAATAAAAATCGTAACATGGCTGAGGACTTAATACACGACAGAGACGAAAGAATTAAACAAACAACAAACTGTAAATTAAAGTAGAATCAATTAAGCAAAAAATATATATAAATTATATATTTTACGGCATTTTTCGGTGATTTTACTTTTTTAATTAAAGTGGGCTTTTCAATATAGACATCTTCTTTAATTCCTGAAAATATCAATTAACAAGTTGCGGAGTGTTTTCAGTCCTGGAGCCCTTTGAGCACAATTTAAGCCGAAACAGCCCCATCAAAAGGCTATTGAATTCCAGCATTCCAGGACGTCTAATAAGTTACGTACCATTATATTCAGCAGTTATGTATCGTTATTTGGGAAAAAAGAGAGCAAACGAATCCGCTTGACTTGAGGCCAAGTGAACCTCTGTCGACTTCACACCTAGAATGCAGTAGATTTTCTACTTAGATAATCATTTCTTCCTTGAATTTACGTTCGTGGGCCGGAATATCTTCTGCTAACGGTTCCTTAGAATAAAAAATCGAAGACACTATTCCTTTTTGCTTTTTATCAAACAGGTTTGCCTGAGGACACAAGTAAAGTTAGTGTACTCAAACGAGTTTTTGAGGAAGGTTCTTTCCGAAGAGCTGAAGGGCAAAATGCCGACGAAAGCCGTGAACATGCACCAAAACGAATACGTACTTCATCTTCAAGGACCGGTGTACTCAAACGAGTTTTTGAGGAAGGTTCTTTCAGAAGAGCTGAAGCGCAAAACGGCGACGAAAGCCGTGAACTTACACCAAAAAGAATACGTACTTCATATACAAGGACAGGTAATAAGGAAGTAATTTAAGAAAAAATATACAATAAAAAAATAAAAGGCCTCAATTACAGCACTTATAAGTTAGCCTGTGTACAGAGGGAGGGGAGACGTCTGTACACAGGCTAGGTGCGATTTGTCCTCCAGGCAGTGCATTGGTTTAGCTTTGTCAGTTTTTATCATTGCTCCATCTGAAGTTGCCAGAACCCAAGGAATAGGACCAAGAGGGTAACTTAGGGCGCTTTCATTTGTCAGAACTGACCGGCCGGCCCATTCCCATCGCAATGAAAATTTCACTTTTAATCAAACCTTACTATCCACGTCAGTCAAATCCTAAATATTATACACAAAGGAGATGGTTTTTCAGCAAAACCTCTTGGAAAAAGCCTATTTCATTGCCAAAATGTCTGGTCTGGCCATGGTTCCTGCCGGCCAGTTCTGACTTTCGGAAAGTGCCCTTAGTAGGCGTTCCAGGCTAAGCTCATGCTGCAGTGCCAGTATAACAAGCTGCCCCAAAACGTTTCTTTCTGCAGTTATTTCTATGCTCCTTCTTGCTTTTCCTTGGACTAGTGAAGTTTTGGCTTAATTTGCAAAAGTTTTTAGATTTTTCTTTTTCACTGGCGCGTGAAAGCTGACGGTTTTGTCTATAAGCCTGTCCTGAACGAACTACTCTATCTGTTCGAATTAGGAGCAGACGGATACAGTGATTCATTATAAACTGCCACAGCTATTATTATGCCGACAAAATGCGTCGCGAGTTTTTTTTAAAATGCCGCACATCATACGCGTATTATACCGAAAAAAATTTCAGGCAGTACCACCAGGTATGTCAAAGGTGTATAGCTTAGAAAGGAAGTGTGACCTAAAACTAGTTGTAAAATAGCAGTCTGAATATTAATTTCCCTTCAACTTACCCATTTGAAACTTGAAACGGGTTGTCCCTTATTACCTAGTAGGATTTTTCATCTCCAGGAAATAAAAAATTGATGATGACTGAGCGGTTTCCAAATATCTTTTCTGGCTAAGTTGAATGATGGCCATGTAGTCGTATTGACATAAAACAAAAACAAAAGCTAAAAAATTACTCAGTAAATACGTTTTACCTCTAGAATATAGAAAACATCATCGTATGTCTGTATGTGTGTGTTTCCAAACAGATTTGAATGAGAAGACAAGTAAAGTGAGTGTGCTTAAGCGAGCTTTTGAGGAAGTTTCCTTCATATCAGCTGAACGTAAAGAAGGTGTCGAAAGCAGTGAACATGCAGCAAAAGGAAAGCATTCTCTACAAACCAGACAAGGTAAAATTTACGCCTTATCAACATCTTAATTTCAATTACACTGAGATGGCTCCTCACTTACCAAAAAATAAACAAGGCATTATAGGAAAAATTATGTCTTGTTTGCAAAATAGCTGGATGTTTATTTTCTGTACAAAATGCACATCTAATCCGGGGGGGGGGGGAATCCGCATATGGAAGGGGTGGGGATGCTCGTCGGAAATTTTGAATTAAACCCCTAAAAGAGACCTATTTGGGCGTAGCCCAAGCTTTTTGAGCCCTAAAAGAGACTATGTTAAAACACAGACAATACGCATATTTTTATATTTTTTCAAGAACAACCCTAAACGAGACCTTCACGGCTAAATATAATGGCGTTTTGCCCAGAACACCATAAGTGAGACCAAAATCCGAAATTTACACCCCTAAGCGAGACGACGAGCATCCCACCCCTTTCATATGCGGAGTCCTCCCCCCGGGCAACTAATGACCGGAACGATGCCGACTCCAGGGCTGCTTGAACGTCCGTGAATGCATTTGCATTAAGCATTTGCAATCATGTGTTCTATGAGTGTTCCTTTTTTGCTTCCGTGCGCGTGGAGGGAAAAAAGCGCAAAGAGATCAACGGTGTCGTGGAGAAAAGGCCATGTTCGTACCTATTCCGCAGAGCGTATGTCACCTTTTTCCTTTCTCTAAACAGCAATTGCAAAACAGCCAATAAAACGATTACAAATTGCACTAGCTAAACGTTCGATGCGAATAACAGCCAGTTCTAGAACACCAAATAGTAATAGGTAATAAGCGACCACCTGACGCATTCTCTGATCTCTATGTACGCTATGTGCTATGTACTTGGAATATACGACATGTACGAAGAACTTAGTAACAACATGGAACTACACATGGCGTAACTTAGAAATCGCATGCAATAAATTATCTTCCATAAAGTAGATTTGCTTGGACATCTTCTCGGAAGAGACCCCCTGTGGTTCGATTTTTGTAAGCGACCACCACCTGTAAGCGACCACTAAGTCTTTGCATTTTGGGTGGTCGCTTAATGTAACAATAAACACAAGAATATTCAGCCTTCTCTTCCCAATCCCCTGCTTGGTTCGCCTCGTTTTTCGCGCTCAACACATTTGCCGCCCATTCATTTTACACACCAAGGAGGCCGGTGCCACGTTTTTTGGCCACAGCACCACTGGTTAGTATTACTGCTACCATATGAGAAGGCCCTACTACAGTTGAACCTCCTGTAAGCGACCACCCAAAATGCAAAGACTTAGTGGTCGCTTACAGGTGGTGGTCGCTTACAAGAATCGAACCACAGGGGGTCTCTTCCGAGAAGAGGTCCAAGCACATCTACTTTATGGAAGATAATTTATTGCATGCGATTTCTAAGTTACGCCATGTGTAGTTCCGTGTTGTTACTATATTCTTCGTACGTGTCGTATATTCCAAGTAGCATAGTGCACATAGCGTACACAGAGATCAGAGAATGCGTCAGGTGGTCGCTTACAAGAGCTTAAAAACAATGGAAAATCATTAAAGTTTCAGGGCCAAAAAGTGGTCGCGGTCGCTTACGGGAGGTGATCGTTTACTAGAGGTTCCAACTGTAAGGCTTTGACTAGGAAAATGTTGGTGTTTTGGGTTGGCGGTCGCTTATTGGAGGTGGTCGCTTACAAGAGGTGGTTGCACATGGAGGTTCGACTGTATATTGGCCCGCTGGGTTCTCTCGAAGTTTCCTTGGCACTTTCTTTTTTGTATTATTTCTTTTTCTTTTTTGAAAAATCGAACGATCACAATTACATGTTCCTGTTATTTCTTTCTTTTCTCTCTCTCTCTTCCTCTGTTTCTCCCTTCTTCTCTTTTTTTCTTTTCGTACCAATTTGGCACATTTGGCATAATTCCCGTCATAACAGGAAATAAAGAAATTTTTAAAACACCTGTTTTTATCCGGTTTTGTTTCCGATAGTACCAAGTGAAATCATAGCTAGAGGACCAGGGGCAAAACGTGCTTATGAAAATGCTTTGAAAAATGGAAAGGTAAAGGTGTATCGTGGTCGAATCATGTTCATCGGCCAAGATCGAGCGGGAAAGACAAGTTTGAAAAAACATCTTCTTAGCCTGCCATTTGACCCTGATGAACAGAGTACAGACGGGGTGGAAGTTGACCCATCTGCATTTGAATTTGACGTCGACCACGCCACGAATTGGAAGATCACCAATGAAAACCTCAGTGTTTCTCATTTTGCCAACGAGCTTGCAAAAATAGTGGCAGGAAAACTTCAGGAACAGAAAACTAACATGAACCGGGAAGGTCAAGATGAAAAGAATATTAAGGTTAGCAAAATGTCCTGAAATCATCTCGAAAGAACTAGTTTCACTTTTTGACGTAATTTGCCGTCCTCCGTACTGGGTTGAAGAAACCTGACCTAATTAAAACCTCACACTTAAGGATACTCACGTAAATTGCTCTTCGCCGATTTTGTCGTTAATCTGGCCAGTTTCTCCGAAATAAAGAATACCAATACAATGTTGGCAAACGCCAGTTGTTAAAAAATCAGATCAGTGTTCATCATATTTAATTATGAAGAGCGATACAGTTGGGCTCCAGAAAGTAGTATAGGGCGCAGATTTAAGGCAGTTTTCTACCTTTTTTTAAGTGGAATCTGTGCTCATTGGAGAGAAGTATAATTATACATTAAGGTGGCTGAACACAGTTTTGGCAGTTTGTGAGTATATGTAATTTTTCAAGTCATGGCAAGCGAAAGGTTGCAGCTCACAAGCTGAAACTTGGTAAGTGAAAAATATACTGATGAAAGCTTTTGACGACAGGTAAAATGTGACGTTTTCGTTGTTTCCATGACAACATGAACGATTGAATACAGCCTTAAAATTTCACTTTTGGTCAGTTTACATAAAATTCGCTCATTAGATTTTCCTATAAACTTGCGTACAGCTTACTTTAATTAATCATTACCATTTGAAACTTATTTGACCCAATTTTAAAAGACCGGTTTTCAGATAATCAATAACTAATAATTGTATTGCAATTATTAAATGTATCACAAAATTCGTCTGTTCAACTTTCATTTTAAAGCTCTCATTATTTAGAATACGATAAAAGTCAAAATTCTGCCAAATATCACAAAATTTTGATGAATAGATTTTGAGAAATGGTGTTCTGTGTACCATTGCTTTTTTCGCCGCCATGTTTGTTTGTCTAATTTAAAACACGCGTTTTCACGCGAGTTACCGCTGACTGCCCGCAAAACTGTGTTCAGCCACCTTAACGCCAATGAGGTCATCGCCTTTTGTCCTTATCTCATGACTAAAAATGAGGACGTAGAAAAAACTCATTATGATAACGTCGCGTTCGTTTTTAGGTTGTTTAACCGATTTCACTGGTTTCAGGTTTTTAGTTATTTTTCCATTTCTAACGAAGGAATACTCGCTAAACTTTCATTAACGTACAATCACTAAAAGGTAATTAACGTAACTGCCGGTTCCGCTTCACTGAATTGTGGCGCGCAATTCGTGCACATTAATGTGGGTTATAGGAAAGCGGCTCCTCTTCAACAACTAACAAGATAGTTTTTGACAAAATGTTTTACTTACCCTTTTCCTCTTTTTATTGATTCTTTCTTTATATGTTTAGAATTTTTTCCGACAAACGGAAAAGAAGGACACAGAAGAAGCTGGATTTCATTCTCATATAGCTAGCAATTTGGACACCGCGCTTGAAGAACTTACGAGCTGCAGCATGATCGACGGGGAGATGGAAGAAGCTCCCCCTCCAGAAGACGTACCAGAAATAGTGACTGCAGAACCTACAATTTCCATACCCGAGTTGAAGATTGATCCAGCCCATCCTCCAGAAGACTTCACAGAAATACTTGTTCAGCATTTAAGGGGATTAAATCTGGAAAAAGATGCGGAACAAGCTGAACAACACACGACGCTAGATCTATGGGACTTTGCAGGACAACATCTTTATTACGCTTCATATCCTGTGTTTTTGACGAAAAGAGCAATTTATCTGTTGGTCTACAACTTGAACAAGCCACTTGAAGAGGAGGCACTACCCTCTTTTAAACGCGAAAATTGCGAAGTTCGTCTAAGGAATCCAAATTCCGAGACAAATTTAGACAACCTCATGTCATGGCTTGCTTCAGTAAGTACTATGTGTTCACAACAAAGGGAAGCTGGTAAAGAGGAAGAGAGGGAGCTCGAATACCTGCGTCCTCCAGTATTCATTGTAGGAACACATGCTGATGACCCATATAAAAGTAATATCAAGGATATTGAATCACAGATCCAGAAAGCGATTTCAGGAAAAAGCTTTGCAAACCACGTGATTCGTCCTTTCTTCGCAATTTCTAACAAGGCAGGTTCAGACGAAAAGCAACTCGTCGCTCTTCAGGACAAGATCATCGAGGTGATAAAGCAGGAGCCATACATGGGAGAGGAGTTGCCACTTCGGTAAGTTTTGTCATAAAAAATTACTCTAAAGCAGTTTCATCCTGTGTATATATCATATTTCTACGCTGTGGATTTTTTTGCGATGATCTTGAAAGTAACAACCAATTGCAAAACTACTGGAGCACTTCGACGAAAACCGGCCTTTTTACATCAAATAGCTGCTAGGTTCACATCTCCGAGAAATAACACTTAGCCCTTCTCTCCCCTCCATTCAAAGTATTTCCTCCAAGTTTTCAGCATTTTACAAGAGGATCACAAGCACAAGATCATGCTCAGGCCAGACAAGGTAGTGTGTGAAGTATTTTTGCAAATGGTTGTAGCTTCTTCAAAACACCATTCCAGGTGCAGCTTTATGTTCAATCTTGATTTGCTAGGATGTTACTAAGACGAGGAACGAAGAATTAGTAACGAGCACGGAGAAAGGGAAAATTAAACCAAAATTGCAACAAAGCAGAGAATGGGTAATCAATTTACTGATACTGCTAGGGTGGACGTTAAGTTTTGTTACCATTTTTCAAGTCCATTTACCCGTGCTCGTTCCGCTGTCCCCGTTGCTTGTTTTAGTTACATCCGATTTAAAAGCCTTTCTATACATATGCGCCTTTTACCTTAACTCAAGCTTTCATTCAGAATGCCGTTCAATTTAACGCTAAACCTAACCTACGGACATGTTAAAATGACGATATTGAGACTCAAGAATAACCTCAGCGAAGATATTTCTGACGCTCCCACATTCCTTCAGCCATTTGGATGCTTTTTTCGTTCATAACTTCGTTTTTCCTGCAGGTGGTTCAATTTTGAGAAGGTCATTAAAAGCTTGGTTGCAGCGAACATTCAGTACTTGGGCCTAAAGGATCTACGAACCATTGTTCGGAAAGTCTGCTTCATCGAAGACGAGAAGGAGATGGACACCATGCTTGATTTTTATCATGACCTTGGCATCATTGTTAAACACCGAAACACAGCTATACTGCAGTCCCAATGGCTAATTGATATTTTCAGGAAACTTATAACCATCCGTCATTTCAACGATATGGTAATTTAAAAGTAAAACTTCTGGGATAAAGGGGGTAATTTCCTTAGGGTTTATTAGTATGAATATTGTTGGGGGTTACATAAAAATCTATGCAACATCGCAGAAATTCACCAACACACAGCTTATCTCCATAGGCGCACGGGCTAAGGGGGAAGGGGAAGGAGGCGAGATTCCTCACAAAACGCTCCATTATTCGGGAAAACAGCACTTAGGATAAGACTTAAAAACAAAATGGAAGTCAAAACACAGAGTTTTAGTGTATACACACTCAGTGATCTTGGTGATTTAAGCAATCTGATTGGTTTGCTAACTCGAACTATTCAACAATATTCACCTCCTAGCGAGTGGATAATGTGTGAACTCGGTTTTTTTCTTAATTTTTAAAGAACGATCTTTTAAAAGAACGACACAACAAACCTTTTCGGCCATAAACTTGGCGAGTCAACAGAAAAGCACAAAGCTTTACTTCTCTTCCCAGGTAAGAAAACAATTCAAACTTTGAACGGTTCCATTTAAGCCATTACGCTGTTGTTTGCGAAGTGATAAGCTTGTATGTGAATTACCATGTTTGAAAATTCTATAAACTTTCGCGTGATTTGATCTGTCAATCAAATCATACCCTTCTTTTTAATGGTTTCCTCTCTAATTTTGTTGAGATCACTTCGTGTGTATATACTAATTAACAATTATTCTTTTCAATCTCGGTGAATAGTGGCTTTAGGAATATTTACCTCAATTTCAAAGGATAATTGTTAATGTAACCACGACAGTCGTTTCTAAACGTCAGTCTAAATGCGCATATGTCAAATCTGGATGCGTGGTGTCGATACCTGTTATTCACTCTTCATCCCAGTATCTTCATTGATTTCTGTCAGTGACGTCCATTGTGAGCTGAGAATCTCAGATCTCTAGATACATTTCAGTTTAAAGCGATCAGTTCGATACTGAAAACTTATCTTCGTAGCACGATGTGACAGAATAGATTGTGCTCGCTAACGTTCATATTGAGCACTCCTATCTGAAACGGACAACGCCACGGGAGGAGTGAATTTTCAAAGTATGATTCTGATTTTACCAGATCAAATAGACTATGCAACGTTTCAAAATAACTTTTTAAAGTTAGTTTGATATTATTATTGTTTCATTAAGCGTGAGAATTTTAAACGTTTTTGTTTATCATACGATCTAAGTACTTTTGTATCCCGTTTACACCACCAAGACGTTGGGGAATTGTGTAATTTCTTCGGGCAAGGTCGCCGACGCCGCTGCCCCCGAGCCAAAGTTCGAAGGTGCCCGTACGTCTATGAGTTTACTTGAGACTCTTCAAAAAACAATAGTTCAAACGACAGATGAAAAGAAGTTGTTTGAATAGGCACGCGATCGTGTGTGGAAGTGTTTTAAATGTAAGAACATCAGATCTGCATTTTTATTTTTTTCTGGTGGTAACATATTCATTCCATTTTTGCAGAAATCCAAACATTCCCTTCTGTGGAAAAAAATGGAGGTAACCGGTGTTCTCTCCATGGAACTCGTCGATCACGTGTTTTCCAAATTTTGTCAGCAAGGCTTTGCGAAAGAAAACATCTTACACTTAATGGAACAGTTTGGTTTGATTGCCAAGTGTGCATTTCCTATAAATGATGTGAAGTACTTTGTTCCAGCTCAACTACGTTCACAACCGGGACGACTTTGCCATTTAAAACCAGCCCTGACAGACCCATGCCCGTTATATCTTCAGTTTCCATCTGGATTTGTTCCACACGGGCTTTTTACGCAACTTGTATCTCGTTGTACCAGATGGTGTTCCAAAATTAAATTCAAAGAGTCACCCAGCCTCTTTGATGGGGTAGCCAGGTTTACACTGGTATCAAAGGATTTTGCTCACCAGCTAATCTGTATTCGCCAGAAACGCTTTATTAAGTTTGTTTTACGTCATTTTAAAACGCGACAGTGTCAAGAAGCTCCAGTGATAGAAATTGAAGAAATGGCTTCACTCGTGTGGAGATTTCTGAAACAGACAATGACTTCTTTGATGGATGAGTGGCCCTACTTGACCAGTTTGGAATATCATTGGTGCGTCGAATGTACCGACTGTTCAGAGGGGAACGTCATATGTGATAGCCATGGTAAAGTGGCATGCAAGCACGATGATTGTTTGTGCCTTCTCAAAATTCTGCAAGACGGGCAAATGGATAACTGCGCAAAGAACTTTGACAATAAACCTACGAATGTTCCAGGACTGGAAAAATGGTTTCCCATCAAAGGTGAGGAAAACCTGTCTGTAACTACAAGACATTTGCACGTTCACATGGCTTTCATTGCACCAAATTCCTCGGATATCCTTCGTTTAGGACGTCTTAGCAAAAAGGACCGAAATGTGTAATAAAATTTACTAATGATATTCGCCATTGGTGCGTCAGTGAATAACTCCCTAATAAATGGTTTTAGTACAATTTTAAAATAATTTATTGCACTTAAAAGTACAATTTTAGGATTCAAAGGAAGGAGCTAACTATAAGCAACCTTTAGATTATCACACTAGTAAATCGTGCTCCCGTTTTTGTCATGATAGATGACAGGCAAAAAATCCTCGTGGGATCTCGCGGGCTTTCAGCAATAAACAAATCGAATTTGTCGAATTTGGATGTGGGTCTGTGGTACAAGGAACAAAGTTACTCGGTTCTTGATCAACTGCTTGCTTGCGTGCTTGCATGCGCGTGATCCATGAGAGACAGCAGGAAAAAAAACAAACTCACGGAAACTCTAGCACTCTGTCTTAATATCACAGTGGCAGTTATTAAAAAAACGTGACTTAAAACTGCTTGTGTTCCTGATGAGACGTTTCATACCAAACGCTAAAATGAAATCGCCAAAGCGTAACGCGGATTTGATGTGGCATTAAGCGGTACGTACCAGAGTGTAGTTTTTAATTAATTCTTTTGAGGGACGCTGGCCGAGTCTCGATGTAGCGCAGACTTATCTCCCAACATTAGCTCGATTTGTTGCCTGCTTACAAAGCAGGGGGAAGAGACAGTGTAAAGCAAAAAGTACAACGTTATGGCAATGCCAGAGCATGAATCCACGTCCAAAAGTAAAGTCTACTACCAGGTCAAGCGTGCCCTACTTAATTTCCTTTTCAAAGCGTTAATTTTTTATGAACTTTCTTCTTTATGCAGCTGTTCGCCCAGGTCATCACCCTGGAACAGACGTTGTTTATAAAATGACTGCTCTTCCGAGAGGGATTACGTTGATCATTAATAACAAGTTGTTTGCTGAAAATCATGTACATGGCACACAATCAACTCGCCACGGCTCAGAAGAAGATGTCCGTCAAGTTAAAGAATTGTTCGCTGCTCTGGGGTTTGACGTACATATTAGACAGAATCGCACTAAAAAGGAGATGTTGGATGAGGTCGACTTTTTCGCTTACAAACGGGTACTTCCTGACCACGATTGTTTTGTGCTCTGGCTCATGAGTCATGGAAGAAGTGGTGAAGTGTTTGGCTCTGATGGTTTTCCGTTGCCAATCCAGACAATAAAAGACATGCTATCCAACGCCAGCTGTGAAGCACTGAGGGGAAAACCGAAGCTCCTTTTTGTCCAAGCCTGTAGAGGGGATCAAGAAGACGAAGGGGTTTTGACTAATACGTGTCGTTCGCCCGCCGTTCAAAGGCCTTCTGTCTATGTTGATTCGCCAAGTGATGAAACGAAAAGCCGCTCTTCGGAGAGGATTGCTGGGCAAACAGATTTCCTGGCTTATTATGCAACAGTTGAGGGATACGTGTCATACATAAACTCTGTCAAGGGAAGCTATTTTGTTCGTGCACTTGTGAAAGTTTTCCGAGAGCATGCTGCTCACTTCGATCTTGAAAGACTACTTCCAAAAGTAACCAAAAGTGTCAGTGACATGGATCCAAGAGGACCTGATCGCGAATATAAACAAGCGCCTCAATCTGAAAGCACACTTGTGAAAGAACTCTGGTTTTAGTTACAAACAATTACAATGTGAGTGTGTGTTTCGCCTATGACTACTTACCCTCTTGAAATCCTGTTGTTATCAGATTGCAGTATTGCAAAGACATCATTATATAATGCCACAGAGGTGTAATTGCCAAGTGTCTAGAAAAAATGCTAGTCCATCTCGAGGTTACCCCCCAGCAGTATGTCGCCCGTACCCATTTATACACCTGGGTGAAGAGAGACAAAGTGGAGTAAAGTGCGACGGGCGGTGCTTGAACCCCTGACCTCCAGACTCGCAGTTTTAGGTGTTAACTACTCGGCCACACACGCCTCCACTTTTTTAAAATAGCATAATTCCATTCTTTTCGTCAAACAATGTAACCAAATGTGCGTTTATACGGGTAATCTTGGCAGCAGGACGCTCAAGTGTCATATTTCATGATCTCTAATCTACGCTCCCGCTCCGCTCAGATACGGTCATTCTTGGTCTCTCTTACGATGTAGGTCCCAATATTCTGATAGAGTTCTTCCCCCGGAATCGAACTCCACGACCTCCCGCAGGCACGTTATTAAATCAGCTTACCCTACCGTGGCTTGGTTAGTTAAGGTTTAGGTTGTTGTTAGGCAACTACTGATGTTTCCGCGTTTTTTTGTTTTGTAGTTGCGGGCGGCGATAAGAGGAAGTTTGTTGCCAAGAAAATGGATTTGAATCCAGGAGAGATCCGTTTCCTTGACGAGCGTAACAAGAATCCAGTTGAAGCTCTCTTAGCCTTTGTCGCGAATCAGCGTTACATTTCTTTGGGAGAACTTGATCAAGTCTGATGCGATTGTGGGATTCTCGTAATCGCCGGTCAACTGTAAAATATTAGAAGGCTTTTACGTCAGTGATTGTGTTGTATGTCAGTAGCAAAATATGATATTTTAGTAGCGGATTATTGGGAGTACTTGGATTTTTTCTTACGAGCCTCCTGTATCACTAATGGAAAATTCATCTTTCTCAGATTATTTTTTGTAACCAAACATAGCACAGTACATAAATTACATCACAGAAAGTACAAAAGAGAAGAAAAAAGGAAAATCAGGATGGTATGCTTTTTCTTCTAACGGTACACACTGAAGAAAAAAAGTAGAAAAGCTTTCTGTTAACTTACACTGTGTAAGATGAGATTAGTGCCGGCGAGTATCCAAAGGGTAATTAAAGGGCATTGCTGAGTTCTATCAGCTAGCTCGCATAATGTTAAATTACAAGGAAAGTTAACTTGAGAACCTTTAGGACGAGGATTTTAGACAGAAAAACATATATAATTTCTTAGTTGGAATTTTTAAATCAATGTTCGTTATCAGTTCTAATTTGAGAGTTAAATATAACAGGCGGAAAAGGCTGTGTTCAAAGTTTGAAAACCTATGTGCTTTGTTTAAAATATGGAAGAACAATTAGTTGCTAATTAATTTAAGCACCCCATTCCAAATAGAAACACGGCATAATACCGCAACTGGCAGGAGGCAACCAGTTGGCCATTTACAAGCGTGGACGAGGAGTTAAACTCGGGACTCTTACTCATTTAGAATGCATGAGAGTGGATGCCTAGATTCTTCACATTGTTAGCTTGTAAATTATGCATGAAATGAGTTGCTCTGACGTAGTTGAGAATCATAGGATATAATTTTGTACCGTGCGAGCGAAATAGCGAGTATTCTCAAATGGAGAGCTTGCCCGCAGACTAAGAATGTTATCTCATTAATTTTAAGTGATTTTGTAAGGTCCACAAAGCTTAAAGCGGAGGACTTACAACTCAGAGTCATATTTCTTTTATATTTTTGATAATTTCTATACACTTAAGTGTAATAGTGTAACATAGCTGTTTCTAGGCGCTGTAAGTTTAAACTTTAATCATAGCTGTTTCTATCTGTAACTAAGAATAATATCTAATTCAAGTAATTTCGTAAGGTCGATGTGACTTAAAGGTTAGAGTTAATGACTCAGAGATATATTTTTATATTTTTGGTAATTTCTATACAATGTAAGTGTAACCGTTTAACAAAGCTGTTACTATTTTTAGTGTACTAAGAATATTTTCTCATTCAAGTAATTCCGTGAGGTCGATCTGGCGTAAAGCTTCCAGTTTAAAACTCAAAGATATATTAATTCATCTTTTCATTATATAGATTTTTCTTTTACCATAAATCCTCTATAAAGCCCACCGGGGCGCTTATTTATTTTCAGGGCGTTAGAGGTGAGGGAGTGGGTGGGGAGGGGGAGGGTTGTTACTTTAACAAAACAAATTACTAAAGTAGGTTGAGTTTGATCGTCCGGGTGAACGTAGTCCTAAATAGGACCGTTGTTGTTGACAGTGACTGACGTTTCGACAACCTGAGCGGTAGTCATCTTCAGAGTCAAAGTGAGTTGAACCACGTCAGTTGATGGTATTATACTCTGGTTATTGATTTGATTGGTCAATTACGTCGTGATGTTATTGGTCGTCTGTCAGTTAAACCGTGATGTTATTGGCTATGAAGACTAGTAATCAGCAATTGGTGCGTTTCGATCCGTCTATTGTCACAGTTAAACAGTCGTCTATTGTTAGTCAAATTGTCATTCTCTCGCAGTTAGTTTTGCTTGATCTCGTCAATAAGTCGTTTGTACGGCGCTGGTAACTGTTGGCTACGATTCAGTGGCGTTCGTTCTAAGTTAGTAAACCAGCTTTCTAAAGTAAGACGTTGATAGTAGTCTGTAGAATACGTTATACATGTCGCAGAGTCCCAGTCAATTTGATGTTTCGTCTTTAAATGGTGCTCAGCAATGTGATTGTTGACGTCATCATTCTTCGTAGCTCGTTTGTGTTCGGTCAGTCGCGTGCTTAGGTTTCTGCCGGTTTCACCAATGTAAGAAGCCTGGCAGTCGCAGCATTTGATCTTGTATACTGCTTCCTGTATGTCCTCCGGTTTGTCTTTGTCCTTGAACCTAAGCACGCGATTGACCGACTGACTGGGCTTAAAACAAATGTAGAAAAGAGTGTGTTAATTTGAAATGGTAGGGGTTTTATAGAGGATTTACGGTATATTAAGAATGAATTGTTTAACTAACGAGAACATTCACGTACGATGTACCGTAAAATTCCGAAAATAAGCCCCGGGGCTTATATTTTTTTTAAGGCCCCTTTTGAGGGGATTATATTTGGAGGGGCTTGTCTATGGAGGGAAATTTGCGTTTCAAAACCGATTGGGCTAAAGCCTTATGCTTGGAAGGAAATTTACCATTTTTGCTTTGTTTTACTTTGTATTTGAGGGCAAGTTCCAAGTACAAGCCCTTAGCAGGAGCCGTAAGTAATCGGCTCCTGCCCCTAGGGAGCTTAAATTTGGAGGGGCGATTTAACAGACAGTTTTTTGCGTTACGAGTTTGGGGGGCTTACATTTGGAGCCGGCTTATACATGGAGGGGCTTATTCTTGGAATTTTACGGTATTTTTGAAGATGTTTTCTGTTTAAAGTCGTCGTACCAAACCAACAATGCCTTTGTTTTGATTGTTATGAAATAAAGATGTGGTTGTAAATAATCTTATTTTGGCTTAGTGTGATGGCCAGTCGCCCAAAAACAGGTGTAATTTTTAAAAAAGTCTCCCAATAGAGTTTTTAAGTGATGACGTCATAAAAATTAAATTTGTGAAATAAAAGGATATTTTGTGAAATAAAAGGATATTTTGAAAGAACAACATCCAAGAGGCCTACTTGTCAAAAATTAGCATTTCGGGGCATGTCGTCACACTTTAGAACTCTATAATCGCCACTTGGGACGATTCTAAGTCCCAAGAGAAACTGAAAACAATGGTTATGCAAAATTTTGGGGGGACAAAAAAGATTATTATGGTATTTTCTAAAGTAGCGAATAGTGAATAAAACCTACTGATTTACAGAAGGGTTAAACCGTACGTTAAGCTTGATAACATTTTACATTATCGTGTTAAGCCATTTCGGATGCCTTCTGTGACACAGAGGTTAAAAGGCAGATTTTTACGAACATCGACCCTCTGTTGACAATTGCGAAGTCAAGCAGCGACTGTGGCGAAAACGTCTCGAAAAAAGTGAATTCAAGCTGTTTCAAAACTTATTGCTCTTAGTCCATGTCGTTTTGCTTGTCACGGATGTTGGTGAATTTTTTCTGGAGCTGAATTCCGGAGGACTGCATTTAAGATTAAAAAATAAGTTGTCTTGTGTTCAGAGACTATTTTTATGTATTTAAAGAGACCCTATCTTGAGACACTCTGCCATTAGACCATTGTATCTTTCTGTCACTGGAACCTGGTTTAATTAAACATGTTCTGAATAAGGCATTAAGATCCCTGATAACTTTAAAAAACATCAACAGTCACATTATCGACGTTTTAAAATGGGCAGAAGAAGGAAAAGTTGAAATATTCCCGTAAACCGAGTAATTAACAGGAAAACACAGGTAGACCTGGTCGCTAGCTACCGTTATCGTACTTTCAGAAGAAGTAATTTTTTAGAGACAATGGAGCCTTTTTAATTTTTTAAAGCATCTTAAAGTATCCCCGACAAAAGAAATATATGATGCTTGAGAGTAAGGTTACTTGTTTGCAATGCAAGTGTCTCTAAAGCTGTCTGAATTCCTGTTCGATCTTACAACTTCAAAAAATTGACGGTATTGCAATATATTAAGGTTTTCTTTAAACTATGTATTGAAAAACTATCTAGGTTCTTTGGTTTTGCACAAAGGAAACAATTGGCAGTAATTGTTTCAAAGGAAAAGAACTAGCAAACAATTTTTAACGACAGGAAATGCGGGTCTGTCGTCTGTTCTGGTAATCAATGGTAAAGCGCTTTGTAAACGGAACAACTTTGACCGGCTATCAACGTCTTGCTTTAGAAAGCTGGTTTATTAACTTAAACGCCACTGAATCGTAGCCAACAGTTACCAGCGCCGTACAAACGACTTATTGACGAGATCAAGCAAAACTAACCACGAGAGAATGACAATTTGACTAACAATAGACGACTGTTTAACTGTGACAAT